CAGGTCAATCTAGACTGCTGGTCATGAAGATCCGGGGAAATGCGCGGCGTGAATGATGAGTTTTGCAAAGAGGTGTGTCACCATGTGCACCCAAGTAAATTATAGTCTGGAGGTAGTCAGTAGAGTTCAAAGTGTCGTAGGTTGACTTAAGACATCACAAACACCTTCCGTCTCTACAATGAACTACAGTGTTGAACAATACAAATTAGAGAAGGACAAGCTTTCTCGCATTAGTCGCAAGGCTTCGATTACAGAGGCAATATCAACCATAGAGACATGCATTATGAATAGCTGGACTAATCGTCTTTGGGTGAATTATTTGCTATGAATGCAATGTGCCTCGCTAGGCCGACACTATCCGTGCAGCTTCACCTTATGCATCCAAAACAATGCATTAATCGCTCCTACTTTCTCTGCAACTTCCTGGAATAATGCGCCGACAAGCTGTTGTTCTCAGATAATGAGCAATGGCGCATTGGAAGCATGGCTCGTTCTATAGCCATGATAGATGTCTAGCCTTGTAACCTTTGCCGAATCTCAGCGACCACGTTCCGAATGCGCGGTTCCTTGACCTTCTGTTCGGCGCGGGTAATCGCATCGCCTATCTGTAAAATGTCCCTACCAGCCTCACAGAAGTCGGGGCCTAGGCAAAGCAAAGTGCCTGTAGCCACAAGCGCGCGATACACGGCCTCGGAGTCGGTAGCCGTAGTGAGAACCTTGGATAAATCGTCGAGCAATGAAAGCGCACGGTCCGCATTGTTCTCAGAGTTGAGCAGTACTGAGTAATTGATGTACAGCGTTGTGAGCGCAATGATCAAGTTTCGGTTCGTAGATGTCAGGAAAGGCGATACTAGTGGATGAATGTTATCAAACTCTGTGCTGGCAAGTAGTCGTCCCTTTTCGGTTTGAAGAAGATTGCTGAGACATCGTATGGCCATCATTGTGTTGTTGGGCGGGGAAGATTCCGTGAAGACCCCTGATTCAAGAAGGTTTGGCAATAGGTTCTGCTCAGGCGACACTAGGAAGGTTGCTGGTTCCTCGAAAGCGAGGACTAGTCGTAATAAGTCCAGTGCAGGTAGACGCTTCTCTGCCGGCCATTGTGTTGCCGCTTTGACAAGGAGTTCCACACCTGTTATGTCGATGCCCTTGCCATTTCCTTTCTCCAATGCTGTGACAGTCGCGTTCAGTTGCTCAACATCCGGCGGATTCAGCGAGATGCCTTTCTGTCCATCGTTCACCAAGGCCTCATTAAATTCTGTAAGCTTCTTGAAAATGACCTTGTGGTTTCCAGTTGTGATAGGAAGGTAATCCTTTTGCGGAAGTATCTTAGTGGCTGGTGGCGCTGGTGGAGGCTGGGTCGCGACTTGATTGGCGTCGCCGGGCCGGTACCGTGCCTCCGAACCCCACGGATCCGTGCCTTGAGCACTGCTTTGCCCTAGCGTTGCACCTTGTGTGTTCTGGATGATGAAGTTCGCGACTTGGTCGAGGTATGTGAGCGGAAGCTCATTGTCTTCGATGAACTTGCGCGCAGCTTCGTAGTGGTTCTGGTTGAGGTTGTAAGGTAGCTTCAGTGGAGGCTTGCCGTCTTCGATGTCAACGTCGAAAACGTAGTCGTATTCTTTGCCGGCATGCGAGATCTTGCGTCCACCGCTCCCCGCCGAATCGACGACTGTTCCGACATTCACCCACTGATTTGCAGCTGCGGACCATTGATATGCAGAAACGTTGCCGTTCATCTCCTTGATCATCTGGACCTGCCCCTCCTTGGTGCCCGATCGCTGTGTGAGGAACTCCGGGCCGGGCAGTTGCTCTTTGTTGATGTCTCCCACGGTCTGCTGTGGTATCGAGGAGCCCTTGACATCGTCGTTGAATTGTTGAATCTCAGCCTCAGCAGCATAACGAGACTGATCACGAGTAAAGACACGCGCAAGCTTATCGCTCGCACCAGTGACGATGTCGCCGTTCTCCTTGCATACAGCCACGGTCCATACTGAGATGGCTGGGTGGGTGATGGTCTGTATGCACTGATTGTTTTCCCATATCCGTACTGTCCGATCTTCGCCGGCGCTCACCAGGCCGCCGTTGGGGAGGACAGCTAGAGAGTAGATGAAGTTCTCGTGGCCGTGCAGCTCCGCCACCTGTTGTCCGTTGAGCGTCCATAAGCGAATGACGGCGTCGTTCCCTGCGGATGCGAACTGGGCACCCGAGGGATGATCCGGAGGTAATCGGCAGAGGGCGCGGACAACTTCAGGTGCCTGGATCGAGCGTACCGGAGATGCGGAGCCCGAAGGCTGGAATATGCGGATCTGCTTGTCTGCACAGCCGGTGACGATGGTATCGCTGTCGTAAGCAAGGACAGCCCACACCGATGCAGAGTGACCCTGCAGCACTGTAGATTCGCCCCACTTGCCTACTTGCCATAGCCGCGCCTCCATGTCCCAGCTGCCGCTGACAATGTATTTTCCATCCTCGCTGACGTCCAGCGCGCATACGTTGTTGCCATGTCCGATCAGAAGAGCGTCTGCATCGTCATCAAGGTTCTTGGTCGGCCGCCGTACGTCGATGATCTGGTCTTTGCCGCCCGACACGACCAGGCCCTCGGGAAACGACGACGTGGGCGGCACGATGGCGAGCGAGTTGACGAATTCCTTGCCGTGTGTCTTGATGGTGCTATCCCATGTTGGCGGGCTCTGTGACTGCTGTGCCCAGGTCCGTACTGTAAAGTCTCGCGACGCAGAGACGATGGAGGAAGGCGAGGGGAATGCGACGCTTCGGACCTGCACGCTGTGTTAGTGGTGGTTCTGCGTAATGCAGGGCCTGATTTGCTTAGTAGCGGATGCAACACGTACATCGTCCTCGTGACCGCGAAGGGTGGCTGATAACTTGAAGTCGGCCATGGTTGAAGCAACGCGGGGTTGCTGCTTGGTGGTGGGAGAGGTCTTAGCAGCGGTGCGGAGAGAAGGAAACGAGCACTAGATAGAGGCGAGAGTTGCACGCATCAAGGCTTCACAGTGAGCGAGATCAACGGATTCGTGGTTGCTTGGACGTGGCCGAGTGATTGCAGTGAGTTGCTTGTCACAGGCACAGCTCCGTGGTTGACGACGTCAGCCTTTCGCGAGACAGCTGTAGCCGAAGCACCCATGTCACTTTCTCATTATGTCAGCCTCGCCTCGCCTCGCCTCGCCTCGAATGCTCCTGCTTCCTGATCGGGACTTGATTCCTAAACCCAGCACCAGACGTGAAATATCACCAGTGCTCTTTTTCTCTTGTAAATACAGGCGCATCTTGGTACCTCACGTCTGGTTGCTTGGCTTTCAGGTACTCGTACGAGTGGCTTGCGGCTGAGCATCTGCTTTACCAATAGCACGAACCCTACCGTTGCCTCAGCTCTCGCTTGTCTGGCAAGATGCATCTAGGCTAACGTCCATTTCACGATAATCTCAGATTTCCTTACCATCGGCCTGGTACTGGGATGCGGGAAGCCCTCGTTTTCGTATTCTGCCACGTGAGGCGCTGAGCCACAGCATCCGGGGTTCGCGAAGCGTCCTGCTGGACAGCTGGCTCCAGGCCACCACTCCTCCCACCATGCGCATCCAGATACGCTCGAGAAACCATTGTTCCCAATCATTGATTGGAAATTGTCAAGTCTTTGGGGTCGCCGCAGATGCGCATTAACCGCCATGCTGCATGTGATACTACGCCGTTGGAAGATGCACCTTCGGAGACTTGTCAGCTTCTGAAACCGGGGTAGATAAATCTACCCGAGCATAACCTCGTCACGGCATGTTGAGACGAGAACATGTAGCGACGTTGGTATTTTCCTAGGAGAAGCACAACATTCGGCTGTGATGCCGTAGCTAGGTAGCGCAGCAGTTCTCTCTGCTCTGGTACGCGTCCCAAAGCAGCGTGGATCGTCGGTGGTGGGCCCAGAACACCACCCACCAAATATCCTGCCAAACGTCAAAGTCTTGGTGGCTCCGTTGTCGTGCAACACCGGCTGGAGGTTTCCATCTCAACATGGGCCCCGCACAGCCCACGACGGAACCCTCCGCCCCGCCTCTGTGGCTCGTCTCCATAACGGAGGGCGGCCAACGCGTTTCGCCGACCGTCTGGAGTCAGTCAGTACCAGCGGTAGCTTTTCATGCGCAGGGCAAATGATTTCGCATCCCCTTCCGAATTTCCTGGTCATTTGACTCTAGCTGCTCTGCTCGGCCGCTACTCGACGTCCCTTGCGCCTCGCCTCCACCCAAAGGGTCGTGTTCGGCATCGCGCTGCAGCCACTAGAGCAATAGCCTTTCGCGTGACATTGCCTACCCTGCTTTCCCACGATGCGCTTACAATGGACCGCCCGGTTTGTTCTAGCCCAGCCCACGCTACACTTGCGCCAAGCCACTCAAGTCCTCTAGACGAAGCGTTGCGTGTCAGCTCAAATTTTGGGCCGTCCTGGAGCGAAGGGACACCCTGTGACTTGTCTGGAAGCGGTCTATGCAACCGCCCATGTCACTGAGATGAGTGCGCCATCCAGAACTGACGCCAGCGTGCCATGGCTGGAGGGACGGCTGCATGCCTACAAGAGCGCGAACACTCCTCCCAGATCCGTCCTGTTTTCTGCTCCCACCTTGATCTGCAATATCTAAACAACTCTCCATACAAGCTCTTGGCAACCAGTAATCTCGGCATACATTCAGTCCGGCTGCATCGACCACAGCATAGTTTGCCTGCACCTGGCGATCTCGGTATCCTTGCCTCAGCCTTACCAATTGCTCGGAACTCGCGCGGCGCCTCCGTGATCAGCGGCCGACCCCTACGTACCCCTACGCGTTCGTGCGTAAGGTCAAAATCGTCACACCTGTGACCGTTGGCCTTTTATTTTTCACAACAGGGTCTTACGAGCATTTGCTTCAAGAAGGCTTCCCCCGCCAGCTCAAACTACACAAGTAACACCAAGAACCAAATTCACACCTTCCTCCACCCCTCACACATTATACAACACTACCACAATGGACGCACCAATGATCGAACTCAAGTCGGCCCTGGCCTCGTAAGACACACCCTTTTGCCCTTTCAATCCCCAGCTAAGTCTGTTAGACTGTTTCAATGCGGACAATACTCAGATCTGACCATTGTGTGTGGCGCGAAAAGATATCCAGTTCACCGTATACTCCTTGCAACCAGATCTACCTTCTTCGAGGGAGCCTGCCGCAATGGCTTCAGGGAGGCAGAGACTGGAGTCATCGACCTCACCGAAGATGACGCAGAGGCTGTTGACCACATGGTACACTGTACGTATTAGTGTGAGAGGGCGGGGTTTTCGAGTGTGCTAATTGCTTCTAGACTTCTATCACATGGACTACCTTACCAAGAAGTCACTCTCGCGCCGCTCCTCACAACGGTCTAACCGACCTACTTCTCTACGATCCTCCATCACCAAGAAAAGAAGCCCACCCAAGCAGCTTAATCTCGCTCAAGTAGAGGATCCGCTACTTGCGCTTGTGGCCGCAGCCAACAACTCGATGCCATTGACTCCTCCCGCAGACGAGCCCATATTCCAGAATCTCGATGCCTCCACCAAGATGCCCGACACGCCGATGGCCGATCAGTTCTTCGAGGATGACGATTCAGAAAGCGAGCAATCAGAGGCCGAGTTTGACATTGAGACTACCCATCTTGTTACACATGCCAAGGTCTACGCCATTGCTGAGAAGTACGTACCACCCTTCGTCATTCTTTACTTTTCTACATTTTGCCTGAATGCGCGCCTTGGGTTGCGGGGGTGTTTTCATCTGCGCCTGCAGCATTCCTTCCCATGGCTGGGGTGTGCAGCGCATGGCACGGCGGTTTGAAACACCGACAAACCCCGCGATGTGCGTCACAAGCACTCCGCTTGCCAATCACGCTTCGAGATCCACCCTCCGCCCTACCTTTGCACACACAGCCCTCTCCTCTGTTTTGCTTGTGTACGATTCCTAGATCGGCCAATGGCCTTTTGTGGTTATCAAGCCTCCATGGCTGCATTTTCGAAACTGTCCGCGTCAGCGTACAACACTCTCCAATCACGCGCCTATCATGCATCACGCACTTTGGGACTGGTTTGCTAACGGTTTATGGCAGGTACGGCATTGCAGGCTTGAAAGCGCTTGCGCGTAGTAAATTTGCAGACGACGTCGAGTTGCACCTCAGCAGTGCCGAGTTTCCAGAGGCTTGCCAAGAGGCGTACGAGTCTACCTTCCACACTGATCGTGGTCTGCGAGACGTTATCATCCAAACCTTCCGTGCCAACCCCAGCCTCTCGCTACGTCCCGACGTTGAGATGGCGGTGCGAGAAACGCCCGGACTTGCTTTTGAGCTCTTCCGCATGGCGAGCGGTCTCCCTGTCTCATCCTGAAAAGTGGACATTACTCTATCTGCCGTCTCTAGCCTCTTATCACTGCTCTACAGCCTACCCCAGCACTTGCATCGCCGCTGCTGCATGCATACGCCCAGAATTCACGCCGAGTTTCGTCAGCTCTTTGTGAAGAATCCTACGCGCGTCCAGCAAAGGGACTATTCCGCAAGAGTTCCGCACACAAACGCCTGTCTTGGCTAAGACAACGTGTTTCACGACATCTGCAGTCAACCGTCGACGTGATGCGGGGTCAGCATGTCTTACCTACCACGTCGAGCCGCGCAGCCGCGTAGTCCAAAGTTACACCCGGCGCGCTCCAGCCAATGGGGGACTTCTACCGGTTCTTCATCAACCCTGCCCGTTGAGGGTTCTTTTACTCTTTCTTGTTTACTATGTAGTACTTCTAGCGATACCAACTAGCGAATCAATGTTCAATTTTCTGTCAAGTCTGAGTTAGATCAATTCATCCATTTCGATCCATCTCTTGCCTCAAAACTTTGCCATGAATTTTTCACATCGTTCTCCAATGACATCTCATACGACTGTACCGAAGGTGGAGCTGCATGTCGCGACGTCATCCCATCGTGTCACCCTTGCTGCATAGATGGGGTTTGTAACGATCCACAGCATGGCGCCCGCATGTAAGCCCGAGATCGCACATGACTCGGTCCTTCCCCATCGGTCATACAAATCAGGAGTCCAACGCCTCCTTCTGGCGCCTAAGGCTTCCATATCAAGGGATCTGCGACCGTTTCGGACCGTTCCTTGAATTTTGCTTATGGCAGAGGGGGATCTACCTTGATTATTGGTATGTGGCTTTGAAATCAAGATGACGATCATGCACCGTGTTGGATACAAGATTCGGAACTGCTGTAGTGCTCAAGTGAATATTTCGTCCGGTATTTTGTGGCTGGCACTTATAAACTGAGGAGCGTAGGTTGACGGCCAGAGGGTGCTTTCCTTGCTTTCTTTCGATCTTTGTTGTTTGAGGGTTGGCTTCATGTCTGGCTGTAATGCACGCATGAATTGCCTAACATCTATCACTCAGTATCTCTCGCGAGAAAGCATCGCGGTAGATCAAATCTTAAATTAAATACAATTAGCAGAGATAGTTATGATGAATACTGTACATCAGTGTGCCTGAGGCAAAGCCGGTGATATATACAAATGTATCTATACAGTAATCGACTACTGTGCCACGATCGAAGATTAATTGCCAAAGCCACTCTCATTGTTGGAGACCATCGACAGAATTGCTGGAATAGCTTTGAACGTGGCTGTGTTGCCGGGCGACGAAACTAGTACACTATGCGCCAACCGGTCGTCTTTCTAAATGTGTGAGCAGCATGGCGGCATTGATAGCCGGTGCATGCGAACAGGTGGAAGAAATCCGTGCTAAACATCGGGAATCATATTCGAGTTGAGCGTCGTGATGATTGAGAGTGGGCAGCCAGTCGACTGTTGTTGTAGTTCAGCACTATCGTTGCTCTGTACTGCTTGGCGGGACGCCCCTATGTAGCGGGATTTGTAGTGGGACACCGTTGAACGCTCGATGTTTGTGTGACCCAGGAAAAGGAATGTGACAGTGTATAAGCTGGCGATGAGGTTTGGTTACGCAGAATGGATCCGGAGCATCCTTTGCATCTTATGATGCTCAGTACTCATCATTTCTTCCCAGTTGTTCCACAGCCTTGTCGAGAACAGAGCATGGGTCTTTGATTTGAGCAACGTTTGGCGTTCTTGTAGCCTTTTCCAATTCTAACACCGGCAAACTCCTCGGGTGCGATGCGATCTCACACGTCGTCAACCACCCATCGCTATAGCTGACCCTGTCTCCTTCGTACCGAACTTCTGTCATTGAATTCTGCCCACTCGAACATCGCCAGCCATGCCGTAACCGTTCAATTAGTCGTCAGCCGGAGCGGTTCGTCGAGAGGTAACTCCGATACTAGTGGATTTGTGCACAGATGATGCCACCGTCGTCACTCCATTCCGATGAAGAAGCTACCCGACAAGCTGCTCATGAATGTCGACACCCAACTCTTGGAACTCGATCTTAGCAATTTAACCTCGATGGAAAGGCCACTCGGCTTTACCGATCTCTTACGCAGTCGAAGCAATTCCATGACGGATGGCTCAGCCAGCACTCACCCTCTTCAGCCGTACAGACCTAGCGCGGAAAGTGACCTAACTCACGCTGCAACCCATCAACCACCTCTTTGAGGTTCCCTTCCCCGCACCTTCCGCAGTAGAATACCCAGCACTCCAGATGTTCTTTTGGCATGCACATGTGTACATGGATGAGACACAATGTACCTTTCGCAGGTGACGAGCATGGTTGACTTGGACCGAATGAAGTACTTCCATATCTACGTATCCAGGTTAAAAGAGTTTCGGGCCAAAGACCGGTCTCAGGGAAGGAAATTCTCGAAATTCTGTCCAGTAGGGTTTAGAGTTTGCGCATCTTAAGCCCGTCCGTTGAAGTTATGAAGGATCCCGAATACATGTCTTTGGAAGGTGCCGAATTCGTATTCCCGAGCTCGATGGAATGAACGAGAGCGTGGAGATTGACCATAGACAAGGAGAATGGATGGGTACACCAAGGAGCGGGGAGGTGGTCATGTCCGAGAGGTCGATTGAACGTGTTCGTGATCATGATGCATGGATGTTATCCAAACTTTGGTTGCGGTAAGGCCATCATCGCGTAAAGGTCCCGTGAACAACTCCTCGAGATTCTGTAAGTTTTTGATCGAGAGTCGAAAGACAGCACAGCAGGCATCAGGCGGGGCAAGGCATGATATAAGACGGTCATAGTCTTGGGGATCCGAGGATGCCCTAACGCTAGCGTGGTTCGCGCTGACACCTGCATACGTTAAATCTCCGAAGCCGAATAGTTTCACGTTACATCATTAAGAAAGTTGAGTTACTCTCTGCAATAATTTTGTATCTGACAGTGGTTCCTGTGTTTCTAGGGCTCGAAGATGCACCCTCACGCTTCCGGTTGGGGCGGGCCGCTCTTGCTTGACCCTGCACCACTGCACACTAGATGCTTAGCCAACGCGACAATCGTCAGCCAAGAGCGTCAGCCAAGAGCGTCAGCCTGGCCAACTTCAGTCACCTCCACGCAATCGTGGTAATGCACATACGAGCCAACCATCTAGAAACGTTTTACAGAATCCCAGGATAACTTGAAGACTGAACCGCGCATATTTGAAGATTCATGCACGTTAGGTGAGTTGGTTCTGTAGCTTTCTGTAGCATTTCCTCATTCTTTCTGGTTCTGGGTTTGTTGTAAATGACGTCCGTAGATGGCTTCCTCTTTGGTACTTCGACACGTGCAATGATACCTACGGGCGCTGGCCACTTACTCTTTGCAACAATTACCCCATTGCGACCGACTTAAATGTGTCCATACCTTCTACGAACTCTTTGCACAGGATCAACGCACTTTCTCGCTGCATGCAAAGGCCGTGCTGAGTTATGGGGCTGTAAACATAATAAAATATGTTGCTATCTTCTAGCCCATCCTCTTGTCGAAAACTCTCTCAGAACATCCGAATCGTCCAAATTGGCACTGCTGTATCCATCAGTTTTGGCTTCTCGAATCACGCACTACACATACACATCTTTCGCATTACAATCATCATATCAATGACCAGAATGTCGGTCCCTCACACAGATGTCGACGTCACATTTCCTCATTATACCTCTCTGCCACCATACTTCGGCAACCATCCACCAGCTCTCGAAAAGAGAGATCACCACGATCCAACCTCCGAGAAGACTAGTAGTACCGGCGCCTACGAACTGCAGGCTCGCACCGATACCGACGACGAATCGAAATACGGCTTCTGGGGCGAATTGGATGAGACTAAGAGTCCGTCTGAGATGGAGCGACTGTTCATGAGCGCAATAGCCAAACTCTGCTTCTATTTGTGTGCATATTGCGTCCTTATGTTGGGTGGTGCCTTTGGCCTCTACTTCGCTTTCGAACTTGCCTTCGGCCGTTATGGGCTAGGCACAGGGACGGCCATTCACAGAGACCAGCTCCCACCAAGCACATCGTATGGGGTAAGTCGACCGCAGTATGGTAGTGGTATCGACAAGCAACATGCTGACACCTAGCCTGCTCTAGATCAAATTCTGCCTCGAGTCGCCGAACCGCGAAGCACCTAGTGCGCAGGCCTGGCGCTACATGAGAGCAGCTACTGGCGACTGTTGTGCGACCGATACCATTGACTTCATCCTCGACTCCAAGGAAACATGGAAGGTTCAGCCGGGTGCTATTCTGGTCTTGCAAAATGAGGAGCCATATCTTGATCAACTCAAGAAGACGCAGACGCCCACAGTCTCCCGAGAGCAAGTACAGGTTCCTTAGCTGGGTGATGACGTTGCTGAAGAAGGTCAGTTGGGACGATAGGGCTGATTCATTGGACATGAAAGTTCTGTCACACCACAAATACTTTGCAGGCGGCATCTGGTATTTAGCATACGTCATTGCTTGCTTAGAATATTTGCATAAATGCCATTGATTCTGTTCGCTTCTCCATATTCCAATTTCTTTAGAATCGCCAGGCTCTCCTACGCCTAGTACCTGCTGACTGCACTCCATAGCATGGAGCCTTCAAAACATCATACTCCGTTAGTCTTGATTAAATGTGTATTCTGCGAGAGACCTTTGCATGTACGTTTGTTCTGTTGTCCGAGTGTCTGTAGACGATGATAGGATCGCTGGAACAAGAATGGGCGCTGGCAGTGAGGGCTGACATTTGTTCAGCTCTGGTATTTTGGAACACGCGCCGAGTTCCTGGCAGTCATATTTTTTGCTCAGGATGCATTTGAGTGACTCAAGTGGTGGGAAAACTTTGCCGTCATCAAGAAGTGGTACTACTTTCGAAACCGTGATCCAGGGAACCGTTTGTAATTCTCACAGTCTTTCCGCGTATTTCACTTTAGAAATCAGTGCTCGCCTATAATTTTAGCATCTGATACCCTATTACTGTCAACCTAATTAGTACAATAGCACGATTGATCCGACGCCTAGATTTTACAACATCCTGGGACATATCGTTACGGGTTAGAGGGAAGGGGAACATACGACTGTGGAATGTAGTCGCAGAAAATGATGAGCATACTTCAGTCGAGTCTATCGCAACTGATATGAAGTTGGGGCGAAGATGTTGGTATAAAGACCCTGGGTTCATAGGCATGATCCAGCTAGTGTTCCTGTCACGGCAATCCTAAGCACATGTCGATCGAGATTTTGATGGAACATGGATTTTAATTAATTTTTATCGTACTCTATTTTGATTCATGCAGGAACTGATGCCAAAGTCATTTAGTTCCGTCAGTCGTAGCCACATTGGCGGTCATTATAGCAGGGCGAAGCTTAGGCAGGGGGAGAGGTAGGCTCAGGGACGCCGGGAGGGCAGTGCCAGTGGTCGTCGTGAGGCTCGCAAGCCTCAGCAGGTACAGCAGCAGCAGATGACGTAGCTGAAGCAGAGGGTTGCGCTGGAGTGGCAGATGCGGAGGTGGTAGCGGAAGCGGTGCTGGTTGCAGCAGCGGTAGACTCCTCCTCGAGGGGAGTGTAAGTGCCAGAGCACCCAACACCGGGAACAACGATGTCGTGAGCATAAGCCTCGAGAGCAAAGTACTGAAGGGTATCGCTGTTCCTCGCAGCGTAGGTGGAGTTGTTCTTAGCGAGGGCGATGGTTCCAGGGTATTTCTCTTCCTCCTCGTCATTGTAGTGCTCGACAACACCCTCGCCAACTTGGGGAAGGTGGAGAAGACGATGGAGGAGATCAGAAGCCCAGAAGGTGTTGGTCGCACCGTTGGCAACGTCGTATCCGAGCATGCACATGGTCGAGAGAGGCCTACGGATCTCGTAGGACAGGTCACAGATGACGGTCTCCGAGGTTGCGTTTGAGCCGCGCCAATGACCAGCCCAGCCTATTGTTGCTTAGTTAAGATGATTTCTTGACAGTTGGAGACAGTACATACCCTCTTGGTCGCAATTGCCATCAATGTTGTCACAACGGAAGAGGATGCCTGATTTGTCACCATCGGCAATCTTGGTAAACCAGCCAATTGGCTCGCCAGTTGGTGCCTCGCCGAAATATTTGGTGTAGACCTCGGAGGAGTTGCCATAGCGAAGGATGTGGTCGCGCGCGTGGCTGACGATGGTCAAGGTCTCTTCGAGGCCCTTCTTGATCATGCTACGCTGAGTGGCATTGCAAGAAGCGTGAATAGGGAACTCGCGAACGGCACCGGTGTCCCATGCGGTGGATGCAGGAGCAGCCTCCATGGTGTGAGTGACAGTGACGGTGGCCTGGCGAGGAGCGAGGGGTCCGGCCATGGCAGCGGAAGCTCCAAGGAGCATAAGAGCAGAGGCACGAGCAGCCATTTTGATATTGACCTGAAGGACTGTGGAGAGGTCTTGAGGTTTGAGGTCCGAACTGGTGTTCAGTGAGTTTCCCGAGAAGCTGGATGCTGGATGGAAGTACTTGCATACAAGCTGCAGGCCTCTTTATATTCCACCGGAATGACATCTCACCACTGGCGACTGTTCCTCTCGGTGCTCATCTACCGACATCGACGCAGACTTGACCGCCGAGACTTTGAAGAAAACGCCTCATGGCTGCAGCCGCAGGTACATCAACCGGTCTACTACCGGTCTATCACCCATACAGAGATCTGAATGCTACGCTGTACGGGTCTGGAGGCTGATCCGCATCTTGGCTTGACATAGAAAGCGAATAGTCAACCTTGGCATGGAGGTGCATGGGGGGCTGGACGACATGTCTTCGATCCGGAGCGTGGAATTATGGGTAACTAAGTACCATGATGGGCGCCCAATGAAGAGAATTTCTCAAATCCAAGGTACACATCGTCGGGAGGATTACCTGCGTTCGGGAAGACCGATGACATGAACGTGGATGGTCGCTATGTCTCGGCACGAGCCTCCCACGCAGTATGTCATGTTGAACGTAAACAGATGCGAATTCGAGAAGTTCGGGTAATCTTTTGCATGATTTGGCTTGTATAGACATGTTGTCCTGTATTGTTCGGCAACTCTGGCCAGGCTGACCAAAAGCCGAGATGCTGCTATCTGCTCAAGGCTTAACGAGGCAGTCAAGACCAAAACAGAAGTCTTGAAAAGAGAGATATGAGCGTCCGGATACACACCCGACTGTACGAAGTAGCGTTGGTGTTGAGCGCCGAAAAGCCGCCTCTTAGGTCATGGCTACAGTATGTCCCCAACATACGTCGCCAAGACTCCCGCCACGTTGAATAATGGCACTATCCCACTCACCTACCGCATACGTTAACGAGGCCGCCTACCTAAAAGCAACAACCCAGATTCACTGGCTCCTAATTCGATGTTTGCTCCGAGACAAGACTTGTGCCAAGGCAAACCATCCAGCAAGGTGCTCAATGCCAAGAATGCCCGTGGCACTTTCTGTGAAAGTACTGCAGACAAATGGATACCGAAGAGTTCTTCGCGGCTTCCTTGTGGGGTCGTCTTGCACCATCACCGTACATTCGTTCCGCTCCGCTGACACCAGGAAAAGCTTGAACGGAGTCGATATATCAAGGGCACTACGCTGGTATAATCTTGTCCAGCTTTACACCCATCGGTTCGCTCGTGTGACATATCCGGTAGTTCTTGGTCATGTCTTCAATCATGCGTTCTACCCTCTCCGCTGCTGTCCTATGTCTCGCGGGCTCTGTGTTTGCGCAGACCCCTACTGTCACCGTCACACAAGCTGGCGCGACTACCACAGTATTCACTACCGAGACTCCCTCAATCACAGCGGTATCGGACTGTCATCCTCATAGCACTGTCCTGTACGTGTTCTTATGTTTGCTTCTGGTTCCTATATCTTGGCGCTAACATGCAACAGCTGGTGCATGGTCGGCGAAGAAGAATACCAGGTTTCCGGGCCTACCGCCACTGAAGAATTCCAATCGGAATATACCGGCTGCCACACCCATGGCTCAGAGACGTGAGTAACACAATCAACGTGAACAGCGGAATATTGACATGTTCAGATACTGCGTCGATGATGCTGGAGAAGATGTTCTGATCATGGTCGATGCTGCAGAATCAACAGACAGCTCCTCACACACTGAAGAAGAGTCACCTGCTGAGTCTGAGGCTGAGCCAGCTGGAAGCAAGGGACATTGCCACGACCACGCCGGTGTTGAGCACTGTGTTGGTGGAAGTGCTGAAGAAGTCAACTGCGATGCTCCCCAACGCGATTACAATATCCCTTTACGAGTCGGCCTTCTCTTCGTCATCCTCTTTACCAGTGGACTTGGTGTTTTCACACCGGTTTTGACTAGGAGGTTCAACCTTATCGGTGCCAACAACATCATCTTCGTTGTCCTTAAGCAATTCGGAACCGGCATCGTCATTTCCACTGCCTTCGTCCACCTTTTCACCCACGCCCAACTCATGTTTGCGAACCAATGTCTTGGTGTGTTGCAATACGAGGCCACTACCGCTGCTATATTCATGGCCGGACTGATGCTGTCGTTCCTGGTGGACTACCTTGGTGCGCGGTTCGTCCAGTGGCGTCAAGGCAAAATTGCTGCTCCCAATACCGAGGTTGCAACTGGCGGAGACAAATCTGGAAGTGCCTCCCCTTCTGCAGAACCCAGCCATGATTTTAACCGCAGCCATGGTCTTCCTCATGCTCATGGTCCCATGCGTGAGGCGACCCCTATGGAAGAAAAGATTAACGTTATGAATCTTGAGGCCGGTATCATCTTCCACTCCATTCTTATCGGTATCACGCTGGTCGTAGCGAGCGATGGTTTCTTCATCACTCTCTTTATTGTCATTCTCTTTCACCAGATGTTTGAAGGCATTGCGCTTGGTACCTGCATTGCGGAGCTGCCCAAGGCTGCAGCTGGTACAGCACAAAAGCTTCTCATGTGCGGTACTTTTGCGCTCATCACGCCTATCGGTATGGCCATCGGTATTGGTACCCTAGACCACTTCAACGGAAACGACCCTAGCACCATCATCGCTATCGGAACGCTTGATGCGCTTTCTGCAGGCATCTTGACATGGGTCGGTCTTGTAGAGATGTTGGCCAGAGACTGGATGCACGGAAAGTTGCTCAACGCGGGTGCGGTCAGAACTGTTTGCGCCATGTTCGCTTTGATTTGCGGTCTTATCCTCATGAGTGTTCTAGGAAAATGGGCTTAGTCGAGCCGCTCTGGAGTGTTACAAGTCTGTAAGATGCTGAAGTGGTGATTTCATAGTTGTGCATTGGGAGGAGCGTGTTTGGCTTTTACTTAGACCTGGTTATAGTTTGGACTGTCACTTAGCTTATACCCTTCACGCTGGACTTATGGTAGAGAGCATTTATTCCAAGATGGAGCTCTTCATACTTTGCTTGCCAAAGCTGTCCCACACTTCTGCTTCCCATCCATCTGATCCTGACTTGTGGTCCAAGAGTATGCGATACTGCTCACCAACGTATAGTGGACTCATTGCGCGATACGCTATCGACTTGGGCACTGCTTCCGTATCCCCTCCCTTAGCCGTATCTCTCCAGAAATCCAGCATATTGATGAGGTTGAGCGGTCCGTGTACAACAGCATCTCTATGACCCTCAACCTCTCTACACCACTCAGGTAAGTAATGTATCTTGTGCGCATTAAACGTCAGGGCCGAGAAGCGAAACAATGAGGTAGGTGTTTGACAGAAATCTCTTTGATGTCGCGCAGTCGGTAGATCTTTCTCTTCTGGCTTTGGTGGTGCCTTCAGTGGATTCTCGGGTGTAAGCTCACGCTGAAAAACCCAGTTGCGGCGATCAGTTAGCGCGATACCATGATCATTCGAGAATGTCTTCTCAACCCCCACGAGCAACATTTCACCGCCATTCTTTAATGTTTTTGGCTCAGCACGTAGTAGTCTCGTTGTTTCTTTGACTTCTTGGCCCACTCTCAGTAGCGCGTTCCGGTCTTGTGCCCATGTCAACTCGCCGCCTGCCCACATTCGCCTTGTAAAAGGACTTAGCGGGTTCACAGTGCGGTCTGTACCATCAAGGCCCAACTCGGACTCAATAATTGAAGGCGTGAAATAGACGAGGTGGTAGCCAGGCGGGACCGGTGTGCCGGACGGTGGTGGGTTGAAAGAAGAGGGTGTGCGATTTATTGTTATAGAGAGCAACTGGAGTTGATTCGCATCGAGTAGCTGTTTACGGATCGAAACAGGCCCGCTGTGAAAGCGTGTGAGGAGTTCGTTGCATGCTTCTGCTACGGAAGCTTGGCGACGAGAGGAGGTTGTGGTAAACAGGCGACGGGTTACACGGCTCATGATACAGCTGTTCTTTTCACCCTGGGTATAGAGCTCCTTGTGTCTCAATTCAATAGATGGATGCTACTGTGCGATGCGCGCTTGTTGACAACGAAGGAGGTGTTGGAAGATGCCGAGGGATAGCCGATATCGATAACGTCATCCTTCACGTAACATTTCTGGTAACCGACTTCGGCTTCTTCCAAACAAATCGAGCTCAAGCTTCGGCAAGATGTCCGAACCGCCACGGAAACGCGCAAAGCTGGCCTGCGTGACATGCAACGCGCGACGCGTCAAGTGTGATGTCACAGACCGACATCCTTGCAGCAACTGTGCAGCCGGCAACGTCGAGTGCGAAACGCGTGAATCGAGGCGTGGAAAGCATATTAGGAAGCCACGAGCGGAGACTGAAGTGCGCAGCAAAACGTGAGTTGGACAAATGAATTTGAAGCGCCATACGACAAGTGCTGATCCAACGAAGTCCACCGAGTGTGACAGCTATCAGTCCACAACGACACGAAGACGAGGTGGCTGCGTCGCACGTTCTGGCCTCATTATCCTCAAATTTCCACAGCCCTGTCAACACCCACACGCCCGCTTCTGGGGGCCAATATCACCTCCCAACCCCGTCGGCGCCGTCGGATCTCAACAGTGATCAGTCAAAAGCGGGCTCTGTCCATCAAGAAGATGCCGTCTTTCTTGGGGAATCCAGCTCCTTACGCTATGTGACGACAGGCGAGCCATCTGCAGCAGCAGCAGAGCGCCGACAGTCCTGCTTTCGGCATGCCGTCCCTAGTGCTGCAAGGGCCGAATCACTCGTGCCAGAATGGGAATCTGAACGACGTATTGCACGCAAAAAGGCTCTGCAAGCAGAAGGGGCCTTTTCTTTTCCTCCTGCTGAAGTCCGACTTGAGCTATTCCAGGCATACTTCAAATGGTTCCACCCGCACTTTCCAATCATAGACGAAGAAGAATTTTGGACCGAGTACCGAGAGTTCAATTTCTCCGCCTTATTACTACAAGCTATGATGTTCATCGGAGTTATCCACTGCGAGGAGTCGACGCTCTATCGTCTTGGATGGGGAAACCGTCATCGGGCGAAATGGTTTTTCTACATCAGGGCTAAGGATATCTATGATGCTACGTTCGAGACCAATAAGATCATCGTCATACAAGCTCTGTTCCTCATGAGCTTTTGGCGAGCCGGTGCGTTATTGGAGAAGGACGCACGACATTGGCTAGGTACGGCTATCAGCCTCTCTGAGACAAGAGCACTACATCGGTCTGGAGGCGATACCGAAGAGAGTCTAACGAGGGTTAAAAGGAGACTTTGGTGGGCTATCTACGTTCGTGAGCGGCAATGCGCGTCCGCTCTAGGGCTACCGTGCCGCATACGCGACAAAGATTGCGATATCGAGCCGTTGTCATCCGCCGATTTCACATCTGCTTTTGCTTCATCAACATCTGTCGAAGACCGTCATCGCTACACTGTCTACGCGATAAGCATGGTGCAGCTGGCGGTCTTCTTGGGCAGGGTGGTGGACGCTGGTTATCTACCCAAGCGCACGCTCGCGCCTAACGAAAGGATCAAGCTGCGCAATGAGCTTTACAAATGGAGACAAGACCTCCCGAGTGTCATGCAGTTGCAAACCGATGCCGGTGATCCGCCAAACTTTCAGGCCAGCATGCTCCATCTTGCATACAACAACCTACTTATTCTACTCTACCGCACCAGCTTCGTTCTGGACGAGAACAGCAACACAGCAACAGACGGAAATGTCGCGCTCCAAGCTGCAGCGCGTAACTCGCGTATAGTAGAAGATATGCTGCCTGGCAGCAACATTGGGCATGCTCAGATGCATGTCATCACCAATTTATTCAACACACTCTGTATTCACGTTGTGAACTTCAGGCGCTCAAGTGGCATCAATCGCACCCTCGCTGAGCATCGAGCCAAACTATGTTTGTTGGGTTTGCAAGAACTCCAGAAGACGTGGGAGGTGACCAATTGGGTGTTACAATTGTTCTTTCAATACCTCGATAGAGAAACAGCTTCGAGGTTGGCTATGGAAGCGGATGATGGTGGTTCTTCGACTGCCACTGGCCAGTTCACCTCAGCCTGTACTACCACGCAACCGCCGTCGCAACACCAAGGTGCTGATAACGTTCCAACTCGTAGCACGCAATATCTCGACGCTCCTGCATCTTCCACCACTAGTCCCAGGCCCTGGTCGTGGACCTTGGATGAAGCCGACCAGTATCTCTTCACGCAGATCGAAAACGACTTTGCTTTTGGAGAGGGTGCCTTGCAGCAATGGTGTCCCGAAGATTTGCTTTCCACGGAGTAAAGTAATAGGCATACTTCGAGAATTTAATTCAAAACATAGTACATCAAGCAACCTCAAAAGCATGACAGGTCATGGCTCATTATCTTCATTAGGGCACTTCAGCGCAAGGTATCTCCGCAGTCACGCATCTTCTTATATCCTAACATTTAGTTGTAGACGGGTCCGCTTGGCGCGTATCCAGTCAGCCTCTCACCACTCGAAGGTCGGAACTTCTCCTCCTTGAACCAAACATGTGCAGACTCAGCTAGCTTCTCAACCTCTGAGAAGGGAAACTCAGGCTTGGAATCAGACTTCGCGAGGAGGTCATAGATGCCTTGAGCGTAGTCGGGACCGATGTTGTAGACTTGTGCGAGGTACTTCTTCTAGTTGGGCGTTAGCATGGGCCATATGACTCGGAATAGTTTGGGATGGCTTACCTGAATGTCGGCGTACTTGACGAATTTCAGCATGTTAAAAGTGTTGGTAATGGTGTGTTGCCTCTTCTCGGGCGACATGACCCTAGTCCACAGCTCCTTTGCCTGGTCGTACTCGCTCTTCTTGGCCTCATGCCAATAATGGCTCTTGCGGCTCATAATGTTGTCTGAGACCTGGTATGGTGCCTCGGCGACGTCAGGGCGGAACTTGTGTGCAAAGCTGTTGGGTACGTATTGCTTGTTTCCGGCGTGGTTGGCATCGACACGCATCTGGCCATCGAACTGCAAAGGCGAGAAGGACTTCGACATGAAGGGGCAGTTGACGGGAATCTGGTGCAGGTTCACACCGATTCTGTGGTATTGTGCATCGCGGTAGAAGAACATGCGGAACTGGAGCAATGGGTCGGGCGAGTCCTCAATACCAGGCACCATGCTGCCGGGCGAGAAAGCGGCTTGCTCGACATCGCGATGGAAGTTCTCGGGGTTCTTGTTTAGAACTAGACGACCAAACTCTTGCATAGGGAACTGCTTGCGCGGCCAGACCTTGGTCACATCGAAGGGGTCAAAGCCGAGCTTCTCGGGATCCGCATCCTGAGGCTCCATAACCTGAACCATGGCGGTCCATTCGATCTCTTCTCCATTCTCGATGGCTTCCCACAGGTCACGCTTGGAGTAGTCTGGGTCTTCACCACACATCTGTGTCGCTTCTCGCTGTGTGAACTGCTTCTGGCCGTGCTTGGCGATGAAATGGTACTTGATGTAAACGAATTTGCCCTCCGCATTGACCCACTTGAAGGTATGGCAGCCATAACCATGGTTAAAGCGCCATCCGACAGGTGTGCCATGGTCACTGAAGAACATGAGGCCTGCATGGTTACTCTCTGGGGTATTTGCTAGCAGATCGAATAGGGCATCGTAGTCTGGAAGGAAATTCCTCGGGTTGCGGGCTTGCGACCGAATTACGTCTGGTCCCTGAATGGGATCGCGGCAGAAGAAGATGGGGAAGTTGAGACCGACAATGTCATAGTTGCCCTCCATGGTGTAGAACTTAATGGCGAAACCACGGGGGTTGCGGGCTTCATCAGGGTACTCACGGCCAACGGTGACGGTCGAGAATCGGACGAAGACAGGAGTCTTTTCACCTACGCTGGAGAGGAAGTTGGCTTTCTAGAAGGAATTTCAGTACATTCCAGTCTGAGAGTGACTGTGGCAAACATACTGTGAGAGAATCAACCTTCTTGGTGCACTCAAAGTACCCAAACGCACCAGAACCACAAGGATGTACCATTCGCTCCAGGTTCTTGGAACGATTGAAAGTCTGTTGCTTTTGGAAAAGAAACACATCGCTCGCTACAGGTATGCCACCGATGGTCTTGCTGTGTGCTCTACAAGACGTTAGCGGAGATACCTCGGAGGCAATCGAGGGTTGAAAAGCTTACGGGTCGATCCATGGGATACCTTCATTGGAGGTAAAGTAAGGCCCATCATCCTCACGCTTTCCGCCTTGAACAGCACCAGAGATCTTTGCAGCTATATCGGCAGGTCCTTCGTTGGCTGAGCCCATGTGACTTTGCCTTGGCGCACGTTTCTCTCCAGCAACACTCTGGATACCCTGAGAGATGGCCTCGAGGGGATGTTGCATGGGATCATTTTGGGAGGCGTTCGCACCGGTCGACATGGCTGCGGTGAGTTTGCTAGGTAGAGACGTAGGGATTTCCATGGAGAAGCAACAGCGCGTGAGAGCTTAAGAGGGCACCATGGAGGCACACCATTGCCGCGTAAACGGAGCACGGGTGTTACCGCTGTTTGGACATATTGTCAGGGTGATGCGTCTCTGACGCGTATAGAAGAGGGGTAGCAGATGCCACGACTTCACGTGCAGGACAAGTGACAGCAGGAATGGTGATTTGAGGTTTAGTGTCTCCTGCATTCGGAGGCTGAAAGGGCTATACGCTGGGGACATTTTTCCTCTTAATCACGCATTTAGTGGGGATTCCTTTTTTGAAAAGATAACACCAATACTTGGCCGCTCATTCGCAGCGGCATTTGCAGTCCGCGGGCGCTGTGGAGCATGGTGGGCATTACAGGTATGGGAACGTTGGACTTTCGCATGTTTCGGCATGATAGCAATCTGACGTTGCCAAGATTAAGCACTGGGCAACGGTCCAATTCCATGCATCATCAGTACGTCGCTCCGCGGGACGCCACTCCACCTTCCACTATTATGGCTGCTATACTTTTGACATACGGTAACCGGGTACCTCCTGCCGGCCAATGATACAACAGATAATCGTCAGCGAGCACGTTGTGTGACAAACTTCGCGCGCAGCTCCAGGAAGCAAGCAACGCTTTGACGGTGCAGGAACGTGCCTCTGGCGAACGTGTGACGTATCGTGACCATCGCGATGTATAACAAAAGCTGGCGAACACCTGCTCGAGGCATATCGCATTCTTCCCAATAACAATTCAGTTGTACTCTCCATCTTGCACCATCACAATGTTCGCTCCCCGTGCCATCGTATCACCGCTTACCCGAGCCGCATTCAGGCCACAGACGATTCGCGTTGCTGCCAGGCCAGCCTACTTTCGCATCCAAGCTGCATCCAACTCAACAATCTCAGAAGCCATAACGCATGATCACCGCGAGCTAAAAACATACTACAATGAGATTGTCGATAACCCTGACGATATTGACCGCATTACACGCTATGGCAACCAGTTCACATGGGAGCTAGCCCGCCACTCTGTCGCCGAGGAACTTCTCGTATATCCAGCCATGGAGAAGTACATGGGAGAGAAGGGAAAGCAACACGCAGAGTCTGATCGGAAACAGCATCACGAGGTACGTGAACATGTCTCCGATTACAATTTGCATTCCGAGAACACATGCCTAAAAACAGCCACAATAGGTGAAAATCCTACTCAAGGAGTTCCAAAACATGGACCCAGCATCCTCAACCTACATACCCAAGTTGAAAGAGATTTGGTCCCTCCTCGAGCGCCATATTGCCGAAGAAGAGAAAGATGACCTACCTGCCCTCGAACAAGCCCTTGCCTCTGAGAAGAACCGCGGAAACTCTGAATCCTTGGCCAAGAACTTTGCTCGTACGAAAGCCTTTGTGCCATCAAGGAGCCATCCCAGTGCAGGAGAGAATCCGTATTTCGAGGGTCCGATGGGTATGTTGGCTGCGCCGATTGACCACATTGCGGATATCTTCCGCAAGTTTCCCGATGGCACTATTAGTCCGAATCCCAGCAAGAGTAAGTATCTCCCTACGAACTGAATCTGAAGCATATACTGATCTTGTACGCCGATATTCAGAGTGAGGGTGAACAGCTGGATGGGCGACCTGTGAGCGGGAGTGTGAAGGAGTTTAAACGGAGCCCAATGTCTAACGTTGTCGTTTTGGTATTGAAAAAATGTGTAACAAACATCATGATGTGTAATCATAGCTTTGGTGCGATGTCACCTGTCAATGTGTCAATTCTCCGATTCTTGTACATATCTCGACTTGATGATCATGATCTCGTGACATATTGTGCAAACGTCCTGTAAAGACAGTTTACAGTATCGAATCAGAAAACAAGAACGTTGAGTTGTAATGTTGGCACAGGAGGAGAATGCCACAAGGACCAACCGGCTCCATGAAGTCGTAGACAGGATACTATCAAAGACATATCCACCCCGGTTTGCTCAACCACTCCATAGATGCATACTATCGTAGCATACAGATATCGCCATACATCACACGGGAACCAACGTTTTGAAGTAGTCGTTTGAAGCTTTGCCATTCCCATAAGTGTTTTCACATGTAGAAGTGAATAAAAATATTGTACAAAAAGAAAGTCTGTCCTTCGCTCTTGACACGCCATACCATGCTACTACCTCGCTATGCGTAACGAAAGACATGAACGAACTTCCATCAACGCCCGCCCAAGCGCCACAAGTCTATTGTCAAAAGAGTGCCACGTACTTTCATAACCAATTCAGTACTCTGCGAATCCGACTTTTTGTATATGGTGCTATCAACACCTTGCGCCGAAGAAAGAGGAGAATGCAGGATATCGTGCTCCGGCGCGCTGCGACTTCGGTGGTGATATCTCAAAGAGCAACGCCGGAGCGAAGGATCGAGGCCTGTGCTCTTCGAATGGGCAAAGAATGCGCCAACGTGCTCTTTGCTGTGTTTCTTTTTTGGGGTTTCGATAGGTGAGGTCTGACACCATGTGCGATAACTTCGTCATCCTTGTTACTTCTCTCAGGACATGGCCTATTGGTCCCGTGGAAGTCATTCTTCTCTACAGCTCCATCATCATAAGCGCATGCGCCCGATTCTCGTATTGACCAACAACATGCGACGTCATGCGCCCAGCCACTCATTGTAATCACCTTCCATCGTCGATCTCAACTTTCCTGGGCCTGTCGCGTTCACGCTCTCGCTCGCGGTCGTCGTAGTCGCTCTCGTCATCATAGCGGCGACGTCGTTCACGGTCATGGTGACGACGGTCTCGGTCTCGGTCGCTGTCGCGGTCTTCGTCATCCCTATCGTCCTTGGAGCGGTGGCTTCGCCTGTCACGGTCGTCTCGATC